CTAATAAACTAAAACAAAACATGGCCAATGATAAGCCTTCAGTGGATTTACTCTTATAATTTTGGAGAATTTGTGGAATTCGAGAACCGACTAATTTAATGAAAATAATGTTGATCAGTAAATTAGTAATATGATAATATATAATATCTAGTTTTACTTACGATAAAGAAATGCGCTAATCCATCCAAACATCTGTGGTAACAATTCCATTTGTTCTTTACGGATCCATAAAGAATGATCTTTTTTAACTTCTTGTCTATTGGAAAAGGCGACTACTCCAGTTAATACACATAATAATAAAATGGGAATTACTATAATAAATTGCAATTGAGTAGAATTTTTATCATTTTTATTTTTATTTTTATTTGGTTGCGTTTGTAAAAGGGGTAGTTCTTCATCGGATTTGTTGAATTTGCGGTAATAGTAAATTTGAAAAATCAATACAGTGTCCGTTACTGTGTAATAGACGCCAAGTATTATCTAGCAATAAAAAAAATTAATCGTATGCATTTTCCTGATCGACATAAAACCTTCTTAATTAGTATAAATATTGAAACACTTACTATATGTCTAAGCAAGTGTTGCAAGATTGCTCCTGTTAAATTTAACAAATCGCCGGCTACCCATATGTAGAGAAAAGTAAGTGATAAAGAATCACCAGACTTTCGCTTATAATTTATCCATATTTGTCTTTATAAAAAAAAGAAAAAAAAAAAAATCAATCATTTTCTAAACGAAAAATTCGTCCGTACTAGATTTTATTTCATTTATTTATAAAAACTTACGGAAATAAAACTATGAACCAACAAGCGATTGATATATAACCACAAATCTCAGAATAGGCGTCGTTATAGGCTTCGTTATTAAGTATTTTCATTTTTTAAAATTTCAAGTAGTATAGTGGTTTGAGTTTTTTTTTTTATGTTAGTTGTGATTTGGTCAAAAAAAAAAATTAAAATATAAAAGAAAAAAAAAATAAAGCGTATTTATATTTATTGAGACGGAGTACAGTTATCGATATATCGTTTTAAGTAAAGCAAACAATAATTTTAATGTATTATAAAGCATATCGATTTTCTTTTAGCAGTAGTAATTTAATATCAAACATCGGATTAATCGGAATGAAAGGTATGAAGATAACTGGATTAATTTATCTAAAAGGGATTTATTATGACATGTGGCAGCAGCTTCATATTCAAAACCGGTTTTAATAAATGATATACTCCCGATAGATCCTAGTAAATCTGTCATTTACGTAACAATTTCTAAATTAAGCGTATCATATATAGCACTAATTTTAGATCAAAAATGATTAGCTTTTCAATATAGAAATCGAATTTTGCATATCACGTTATACCGAATCGAGTTTTTATTTTTTAAAATATTTTCTTCATTTTTATTTTTTTATTTTTTAGATTAATCCTTTATATTTATTCCAGTTATTCTTACTTCTTAATACTATTATTGTAAATAGTAAAATAAAATAAAAGTATATACCGAGGGAGGACAAAAGTGATTGCACGGTCAAGAATAAATATTGAGTAAATTTTTCATTTTTAACTATGCCAAGTTTTTTAGTAACATTTCGGTCATCTATTGCATAAATGAAATATTTTTATTAATTGATTATTTAATATGTTGCAATTTGTAAAGTCAAATTTGATAAAATCTCTAATTTTTAGTTTTGCGCATTATATTTTCGTTAAAAAGCTAAAAGCGGCCTTAATTACTGCAAGTAAATTAGTCCAGCAACTCGGAAATCAGAAATTATATAGATGTTATTATATAACCATTATGTGGTTATTTGCAGTTTATTAATTAGTAGAAATAAGCGAAATGCTAACAAGTTGATCCTTTAGCGAGAACTTATTACGTGCGAAGAATTGAAAGTAGAGAGTTTTTTAAAATTAGATTTTACACCTTGCATTACTTAATCAAACAATCAATAAAATGTTCAAAAAGCAATAGATAGCCAATGTGTTATTAAAAATATAGCTCAGTTACTTATGAAAATTTACAAAATAATTTAATTCTTGACCGTGCAACATTTCTGTCCTCCCTCGATATCTATTTATTTCTTTACACTTAAGTTTCATATTCTTTTAACACTGTTCAGACTAGAAAAACTAATTTCTAATAATATTTAATTAAAGTCTAAGATCTTGCAACTGTCTATTTCATTATTTAATAATTGCTTATAATAATAATTTACTATAATATTTGAAATTTAACACGTTTTTAATACAATTAATAATATTTGATAAGTTTTATATTAATATATCAACTCTTTAATATACTTTTCAATTTCAATTTAATCTTATTAATATTTCTAATAAGATTAGTTATTGTCATATCTAAGGTATTTATTAAGATTTTTTTTTATCTAT